CACTTGAAAGCAGATGAGAGAATTTTTGGGTAACAGGTTTTTGCAGGATCTGGATTCCAGGGTTTGCAGACATAGCCAAACTTCTACATGAATCTTTAAAGGGTCCAGAAGGACAGTAATTATTATAGGGTAAAGAGCAACAGTCAGCATTTAAACAGCTAAAACTAACTCTCTGCTGCCCCCTGTACTGGGGATCCTAAATGTGACCCAGCCTTTTACTTTGTACATGACTGAAAGAAATCATACTGTTAGGGGTACTTAATCAAAGAGTAGGCCCATAAAATCAGCCAGCAGCATATTTACATAAGAATCTGGATCCAGTTGCAAAGGGATGGCCCCCTTGTTTACGAGCTCTGGAGGCTGTTATGCTAATCAAAGAGGTGCCTCATGCTGTTCTGGAGTTGCTGAACAGAGGACACCAGTGGCTCTCAAATAATAGTCACATAATAATGTCAGGCCCTCATCTGGGAGAATCCCTGCCTGTATTTTGTGCTAGTTAAAACCTGAAACCCTGCTACTTTTTGCCCTCTGCATGTGCCCCCTGACCACGACTACCTCATGGTCACCAATGAGTTGTTCGCTAGTCATCCAGATCTGCAAAGACCTGCTGCCTGATGCTGATTTTGTCCCGTTCAAGGATGGGAGCAGCTTCATGGAAAATGGGGTATGCTGTGCTGGCTATGCAGAGATGACTCAGTATGAAATGGTCCAAGCAGGACCCCTTCCCTACTGGATGGTCAGCTCAATGAGCAGATCTATGGGCACTCATACAGGCTTCCGATGCACAAAAAAGAAAAGAGGGTGTTTATACAGATTCCTGTTTGCTACTTTGCATATCTATGGCACAGTCTATAAAAGTGTGGTCTTCTCACAACAGAGGGCAAACTTATTAAAAACAAACAGGAATTAGTACAGTTGTTGGCAATGTGGGAATCTGACTACTCTGCAATGCTCTGAACACCAAGAAGTGTAGAAAAGATGCAGTAACAAATGGCAATGCCAAGGCAGACATATCAGGCAAAAGGACAACTAAACAGAAACTTTAGATGATTATACCCACCCCTTGAAGAGGTTATAAACATGTGTTGGTATGGGTTTGTACTTATTCAGGATGGCCTGAGGTCTTCTCTATAAAAACAGAGAGGATTTCAGAGGTATACAAGATTTTTTTTTTTTTTTTTTTTGCGGTACTGAGGATCAAACTCAGGACCTTGTACTTGCAAGGCAGGCACATTACCGCTGAGCTACATCCCCAGCCCCTACAAGATTTTATTACAGGAAAAAATTCCAAGATTTGGCCTGCCTGTCTAGGCAGACAACGGGCCAGCATTTGTAGCAGAGGTTGTACAAGATCTAGCTAAACTGTTACATGTAAAATGGTACTTACATCTGCTTATTGACTTCAGAGTTCTGATAAGGTTAAAAGAAAAAAATCGTACCATTAAGGGAGTATTAACTAAATATTGTCAGATAACATTGGGGTTTATGGGTTGATCTGCTCCCTTTAGCCTTCCTTAAAATAAGAGATACCCCAAGTCATACTGGGTTCTCTCCATATGAGGTCTTGTTTGAAAGGCCACCCTGTATCTTGAGAAACTTTCTAAAAAATTTACCTCAACTGGGCTTATCCAGTATGGAATTACAGCTGTTACAATTGGGCAGAGTTCCAAAATATTCAAGGGCAAATTAGAAATAAAGAGGACCTTCCTATGCTAACTCCTGCCCATCTGATAAAACCGGGGGACCAAGTTTATGTTAAAAATTGGAAAAAGATCCCTTTGCAACCTATATGAAAAGGACCATACGAGGCACTTATGGTTACTCCCAAGCTGTCAAGGTGACTAAAGTCCAACCGTGGATTCACCACTCTTAGAGTGAAACAACCGAGAGCTCCACAGATGGCGGCTCCAGAAGACAGCGCACTCAAGGCCCTGCTCTCACCACACCGGAAGCTGGTAAGTCTATGCACGGCTGAAGAATGAGGACTGCAATCAAGACATTCTGGACTCTTTATTGTGTCAAATTGTTATGAGCTTTTTTTTTCAATTAAGAGTTAATAAGCCTAATCATGCTAAGTTTGATAAAAATATGTGACTTTTAAAACTGTTAAATGGGAATAGGAGGGACATCCCCTCATGCTTCTTTTTGATGCCTGTCCAAAAGAACTTTATGCAAACCCTGGTACCATACTTGACTGTGGAGAATATACACAAAAAGATGTACTGGGTTGGATAAAGCTCAAATATGGTTAAACAGTTCTGTTGTAACACAAAAGTATTGGCAATTGTGATAACTGTAAAAAGGGACAATGTAAAATGTATATAGCCTTTAAAATTGTATATAGGTTAGCCTTGAGGAACAAGCTGACTATAGATTTTCTTATGTTTATATTGGGTATCAGTCAACTGCTAGACATGGGACTCAAAAGTTAAAAAGATGGATTCTACAGATTAAAAAGGCTTGGAAGGATCCCCCTCCAGAAATAGGGAAAACTCCTGCACTGCAGGAAATACAGAATATCTTAAAAGAACACCCAAAATTATACAGAAATAGATATAGATATGATAGATTTGGTTGAGGATCTCATTCACTGCTGCTATAGACAGACCAGAAATTAGTCTCTGACTGCTGGATTCGCACACCACTCACTGTGGTGATTTATCAAGCAACTGACATTATGAATGGCCTGCCCTTCGAGGCAGTAAAGCTTACTATGTATCCTTTGCTCAGCTACCCATTAGATGTAATTAAAAATGGGACTTGCTTTCTTGGTATCCGAAAGTCACACAATGGCTCAGCTGTCTGCACTGATATTGTGATATTGTTGATTTGTCTTCTACCACTAGTAACTTACTCTGCCCCAAATGGAACTTTCTCTGTGGAAATGGTATTTTTAAGGTGATTTCAAAGTGTTCTACTGGTTTATGTGCTCTGGGGATCCTAATCCCCAACTTGTCTGTCTGTACTCCTTCAGCTATGAAAAAGATGCCTTTACAAATTGCTACAACATATGGTTTAGCAAGAGAGAAGGGGACCCAATTTTCCTCGCCATATTCACAGGATTGATTATAACAGGGAGCCTCACTCTTAAGTGCTACAGCTCTCAGGTTAGAAAAACAACAGTTCATGGCTTTGGGACAGATTAAAAAAGACTTAAAAGAAATGTGAGATACAATTCAAACTTTAGAAACTCAGATTCATTAGCTAATATAGTATACAGAATTGAAGAGCCCTTGATTTGCTCACTGTACAAAGAGAAACTTGTTTGTTTTTAGGAGAAGAGTGTTGCCACTATGCAAATAAGTCTGGAATAGTTAAAGAATCACTGGATAGATTAAGAGATCATATTAGACTGCTAGGATAAGTGTTTGATACTGAGGACCCGACATTCAGTTTTGGCCTTAACTTGCCAGGATAGAGCACTTGGATCAGATCCCTGGCAAGACCAATTCTTATTATACTGCTTATCCTTATGTTTGGTCCCTGCATAGTAAGATCGATACCAAAACTCATACATCACAAGGTTGAGGCTGCCCAACACTATCAGATGTCCGTTACATGGAAGGATGAAAATTGGTATGAATATAAGGAGGGGTAAGGAGTTACCCCCCAAAAGAAAGGGAGGAATGATAGGAAAAACTTTTATAAATAGCAAAAACCTATAAAGCGTTACAATGTAAAATGGCTTCTGCTGTCTCTAACAGCAGTTTGTTTTGTTTAGCTCAGAACTAATAGGCACTGAAGGCACTAATTGCTGAATGAGGCATTTGGTCTGACCCTGAGATAACAGGGCGCATCAAGGTCTTGAGCTCCGATGAGACTGGAGCCACGTGATCATAAAAGAGTCTAAATGAAAGAACCCATTGCTAACATTCGCTCCCTGACCCTGAACACCCTCTTCCTATGAGCTAGAATAGATAACTAGGTGAATCTTAAAGGTAAACTCCCCAAATGCAAAGAACTGTTATGTCTGGGTTGAAAAGATTAACTATTCTGTGACCGCGATTTGAACAGTGAGAATGAAATGTAACTATCCAAATGAAGTCTAGGTTGTGAAACCCTGTAAAAGGAGGAGTTGTTATCCAGTGCATCATTGTTCCAGGCACGGCTTATGTGTGAATGACCCTTATTGATGAGTAAATTTGTTATTTTACTTCCATTCTGCTGCCTTTCTGTGTGACACTGATTCTTGCATAACAAATTCATTTTTTATTATATATACTTTTTATTATTGAATTAACTTATTTTTATTATATTCTTTTGAAAACCTGAGATATGATTTAACAAATAAAAGCAAAACTACAGGACATTTTCAGGGTGAATGTCAAGATTTTTAGTACTATGAAGATCCAGAACTGTTGCCTATCATCAGCAATGAGAAAAAAAAATTCTTTATATACCCCTTTCCTCATCTAGGCTAGGACCATCAAACATGGCTCTGTTGAATTAACTTATTCTTTCATAGTAGCCCTGAATCTTTTATACTAGATATTAGATGTCTCTTTTGTCACTCAACTGGACATGTAAAATCTGTTCACTCTAATTACCAAATGACTGTTATATACAAAGGAAAATAATTTTAGGCACTTCTTTCCTACTCCTACCAGCTCTCCTGTGTAATTAAAACAACAACAACAAAATAAAAAACATTTGTTTCATAGGACCTTAATTTTTCCACATGTAAAATTGGAGTGATCTATTCATCATTCTAACAAACACCTTATGTCCTCACCAATTCAAAATTTCAGTACCAAAAAAAAAAAAAATTAGAAAAACAATTGCATTTTCATAATTGAAGAAACTGTTAAGTGACTATAAAGCTTAAAACTATTTTATGCTTGAGTATGTTTCTAAGAATGTATTTAACTTTTTGGGGGGATACTGGGGATCAAACTCGGGTCCTTGCACTTGGCAAGGCAGGTGGTGAAACCACTGAACTTTCCCCAGACCCTAAGAATATATTTAGATAACTATTGTATGCATTTTGTAGAAATGCCTACCTTTCAGAAACAAACTCAACACAATCCGATGACAAATTAACTTTTTCACTTGCTTTTTTTGAAGAGTTGGAAGATTCACAGTTCATAGAAGTCATTTTTTCATTCTGTCTGTTAATCAACTCTTGATTCTTATTCATAATTGTGGTCTCCAAATTTCCAATCTGTTACATGGGTGAGGAAAAAGCATTTAGGAGGAGGAAAAACTTTCACTTGAAAAACATTCTTGCATATATTTGACAAAATATATTAAATTGTGTATAATGACTGGTGACCTTAACTGTGATTACTCTGACAAAATGAAATTTTTAAAACATTAAAGGAGGGAAAATAAATTACCTAGATACTTAGATCATATTTTATTTATTTTGGGGTACTGGAGATTGGACTTGGGTCCTTGTACTTGTAAGACAAGCGGCAGAAGCAGCTCAGTAGTGCTGCCACCTGCCTCACAAGCGCAAGGTTCCGAGTTTGATCCAAAGTAAAAAAAAAAAAAAAAAGAGCAAAGCATTAGACTTTAGTAAGGAAACTTTTATTTCTTATAAAGGTTAGGAAAAAATAAGGCTGCCAACTCATTCTTCCTGTTGGTAATGTTTTTTAAAACTTGAAACTGAACTATTTAGTCCGCGCTCTGGTTTAGAACTGACAGCATTTAAAATATATGTCTATAGGCCCAATTCATAGACTTTTTTCTAAGAGACAGCATGAACAGATAAACTAAGGGAGAATTCAAAATGTTATTAAATAAAGATTTTATATGAACAATAGGTTTACAACAGTATTGAAAAGCAAGAGCAAAAGTATGTGGCATCCTTCAGTTCCAGCACAAGGAAGCCAGGACTCAATTGTTCCTGTTCCTGCCCAGCAACTGCAATACTTACAACTGTGGAAACAATTCACTGGATAATTGTAAAACAACTCAGAAAGTCAAGTACCCTTCCCTCAGCCCAAACTGACAGGAATGGTGGCTACTTCCCCCTCCCCGTAGCAGGGTCAGCTGAGTTCCCACCTGAAACTGGGACAGTGGCAGTTTGACTGACTGCAACAGCATGACAGCAGAGGCCAGCCGAGGACCAGTTTCTAGAAACCCCAACTGCAGGACAATCACTGGCCTAATCCACTGCGACAGCAGTAAAGGCATCATTCCACATGTGGGACAGCAGCAGGGCCTGAAGCATCAGCAGCATGCTGGCTCCTACGTCTTCAATCTTCATTCCAACCTCTGCTTCCATTACCCCATCTTTTCTGCCTTTGACCTTGCCTCTTTTTGCAAGGAGCTTTCTGATTACATTGAACATACCCAGATAATATGGGATCAGCACTTCCTCACAAAATACTTGTTTAATCATATCTACAAATCCCATTTTGCAATGTAAGGTAACACATTCACAGGTTCTGGGGATTAGGTCATGGACATCTTTGGGGGCCATTATTCAGTCTACTGCAGCCACAGAAAATCTGAACAATATCACCCACCTTTGGACAATTGGCACAAAATTACCATTTGGAGGATATTGTGCTCAACAGTCGGTACATGGAACATTCACCAACCAAAATCATATGCTGATATAGTGTCAATAACTCTTAAAAGTTAAATTTTACACACAATGTCCTCTGATCAAAGTGGAATTATATTAGATATCATCAAAAATACAAAGAGGCCAGGGATTTAGCTCAGTGGGTCCACTGCCTGCCTCGCAAGCGAAAGGTCCCAAACTCCATCCCAGGTACCAAAACAAAACAAAGTCCCCAAGTATTTGGAAGACAAACATAAGCACTTTTAAATAATAGTTAAGAGGCCAGGTGTAGTGGCACATGCCTGTAATCCCAGCACTCAGAAGGCTGAGGCAGGATGATCATGATTTTGTGGCCAGCTGGGGCTACCTAGTGAGTTCAAAGCTGGCTTGAACGGTATAGTGTGAACCTGTCTCAAAATAAATGGATAAATAATGGAGCAAAGGCCCCATACCAGAAGCAAAAAAAATATGTAAACCAAGCAGGTTGACACGTGTCTGTAATTCTCAGCACTGAGGAGAGTGTGGCAGGAGGATCATGAGTTTCTGGTCACCTACATAGTAAGACTTTGTCTCAAAAAATCCATTAAGGGCTGGGGATTTAGCTCAGTGGTGCCGCTGCCTGCCTCGCAAGCCCAAGGTCCCGGATCCCTGGTACAAAAAAAACACCAAAATCTCTCAATCAAAAAAATCCATTAAAACACTAAAATTTTAAGGAAAAATCTCCCTACAGAATAAAGCTTCTTAATCAGTTTTCAGATTGACTCCATTAAATATTTAAGGAACAAAAATTTTACACAAATATTCAGAGAAGGGAATGCTTCTCCATTAATTGAGATTAACATAAATCAGGTGCCAAAGATTAATATATGACAAGAAAAAAAAAAACACAAAGTGAACATGCATGGAAGATTATAACTTTTATATATAAAATATAAACAGGCCGGGCTGTGGTGGGGAATGGCTGTAATCCCAGCACTCTGGGGGTTGAGGTGGAAGGAGTGAAAGTTGAACCCAACCTGGTGACTTAATTTAGATCCTGTTTCAAAATTAAAAGGGCTGGAAATGTAGCTCAATGTGAAATCCCTTGGTTTAATCCCCACTATCACAAATATACACACATACATAAAAACAAACAAAATTCAAAAATATATTGGCAATTTATACCAAATATAAGATGGTCTAGAGGGGATAAACAGATGAAGAAATAAGTATGGTAAAATCTAGGTGCTGAGTATACAAATCTATTCTATAAAATTCAACTTTGCCTTTCATGTTAAAATTGTGGGCTGAGTAAACAATCTAAGCAATCGCCAATCCGTTTTCTACTCCCTTTACTAAAGAGATTCAAGCCACTGACTTTACACTACCTACGAAAATCTTCTTCTGAGACAGATTCATGGAAACATTCTAAGTTGACTGTCCTTTAAAGATGTCTGTCCTAGTTTGGAAATATATTCATTTCTTATAACCCAACTGCTTATACCATGACTCAACTAGGTTATTAAAAGTCCTGAGTGTTTATACCAACCTTATAGGGTGTATTACTGGAGAATGTATTTGCTTCCAAACATTTCCTTTGAAACACTAATACTGTTTTAACACGTCTGTGAAGTTTTGATATTTTTTCCTGGAAGAAAGAAAAATAAGTAATCATCAAACCAGGGTATTAAATAACATACAGAGGTAGAGGAAAACTTAGTTGCTAGAGTAGTCTCATTAGACTTAGGCATCCATGCAAATAAAGTGAGAATTTTCTTTTTCTTTGCCATCCCAGGGATTGAACCCAGGGCTTTTGTGCTAAGCTACATCCTCCATCCTTTATTTTTGAGATAGTTTCATGAAATTACCAAGTTGCCCAAGCTGGGCTTGAACTTGCAATCCTCCTGTCACAGCCTCCCCGAGTGCTGGGATTACGTGTGTACAATTACACCCAGCATAACATAAAAATTCTTATACATTCATCCCTTGGTATCCATGGGGGTTTTTTCCAAATCTGAGATACCAAAATCTGCAGATGCTGCTGAAGTCCTTATATACAATGCCATAATATTTCATACATCCTACACATATCCTCCTGTACAATTGAAATCTTTACACTATTTCTAATGCCTAATACAAATGCTATGTACACAATTGTTATACCATAGAGAATGACAAAAAAAGACCGTATATATTCAACATTCTTTTTCTGAGTATTTTCAATGCATATTTAGTTGAACACACAGGATATGAACCCAAGGATATGAAGGGGATGACTGTATAAGCAAAAGGTTTAAAGCAGATTTTATGCTTGTATGGTATTCAAAAACATAAGATGGGCATGGTGGTGCACGCCTGTAATCCCAGCACTCAGGAGGCTGAGGCAGGAGGATCACTGTGAGTTCGAGACCAGCCTGGGCTACATAGGGAGTTCCAGGTCAGTCTCAACTACATAGTGAGACCCTGTCTCAAAAAACAAACAAACAAACAAAAAACAAACAACAACAACAAACCCAAAAACATAAGATAAAAACATGGGAAGTTTAATTGGTCAACGATAAAACTATCAGCAAGTAACCCTAGAAGAGTAAAATAAAAAAACTATAAAAGAGCTTCAGAGGTTATACAAGGACTAAAAAGGATATAGTTAGAATGAAAAGACTACTTATATATTAAACATGTCAACTGACATAGGATGCTTGACAGTTCTAAGTATTTCTCAAGGGCTGATATGGCTGGCTTATAGTAAACTCTATATTGTCTACTACATGGTCTTAAATTGTGAATCTAATTTGGGTCTTGCTTTGTTTGCCTTCTGTAATACATAAAAATAACATCAAATTCTACTTTTTAAAAGGATTCAAATGATATCAAGAGAAATCACTTACTAAGAGTTCACAAGCTATTGCTTCATGTTTATTTCTGCACTGTGTCTTCCCAATGCGTTCATTCAATTCTTTCAGTTTTTTATCAAACACTTTGAAATTTGCACTAAACATCTCCTGTTGAATCAAATGTTTGACCTAGAATTTTAAAATAAAAATCAAAACACCCCAGGTTTTGCATTTAAAAGCAACTTTATCTTCTATTATTTTTTAAACAAGCTTAGTTCTTTTTCTAAATTAATGTAATGACAAAATATATTACATTTGTATTTCTATGTTAGTACTTACATTTCTACACCTGTTTTATTTGCTGGTTTCTGAGACAGAATCTTGCTATATATTTCAGGCTGACCTTGGAACCATGTAGCCCAGAATGACCTCAAACTTGCAGCGATCCACCTGCCTCAGCCTCCCCAGTGCTAGCATTACAGTATGGTATCACCACACCCAGGTCTGCACCATTAAGTTTTTCTAAAACTTGAGTATTAAGCTCAGCATAACATGTCCAACATTTAAATATACGGACATGCCACAAGTTAAATTTATTCTCAAAGTGCTAATTTTAGTTTCTATTTCCAGTTGATTATTGTTCCATAATATACATTATAAGAAATATTACAAAACTATATTCCATTTATTTTTTTAATGACATGATGAAAAGTTCGTATTTCATAAAGAGCTCTACTATATGACTATATATATAGTCTGACGAAAATGCTTAGAAGGCCTATAGTAGAGGTCCCCGGTATATTGCTTCATGGTGCACAAGTTTGGGGTTTGACCCTGCCATTAACAAGCTATATGGCCTTTGACAAGTCACAAAGTCTCTTCATCCTCTCTGTCCACAAATGTACAGATGATAAGAGTAAATGTCTGTTGGATGAGTGATACCTAAAGGATTTTTAAAGAACAAAGGTAAGGTAATATTTGAAAGAGTTCCATCAGATGGAAAATACTTAGTTGATATGAGGGAAATAAATATGCAAGACAAGCAGCATTACTTGCATAAATTTTTAGAGATTAGGTTTGTTATGTTAAAAGTGAAAAAGCCACAAACAATTATATTGTGACTAATGCAATCTATTCTGAAAAACTAGCAATTCACCATTTATATATCTACATATATATACACGTGTGTATATATATATATATATATATAGATATAGAAGACTATATATAGTTAGATATATCTAGATATAGGTATATCTATATATATATATATCTCAGTCAATGTATTTCATTTTTTTTTTTTAATAGAGTGGCTCCTTTTCAGGAAGCATACAACCTCAATGCCCAGTGATACAAACAGCTCTGCTGAGACTTACATTCAGAAGCATTGTAGTTTTGTGCTAGTGTTTTTCTCCTATAAGCAACTTTCATAGCAAAGAGTGGTCCTTTAATAATAACACCCACAGTGATACCCTTAAGGCATACAAGGAGTCCTTACATTTTGATGCCTGTTATGTTGACTTCTAGTATATAAAATACTCTGTTTTCTGTACATTTTAATGTTTTTGGCTAACTGTATAGAAAGTTGTCAGTAAAACCTTTATTAGAGGATGGATTTCTTAAAAAAAAGAAAAGTAATAATTACACCTTGTCCCCAGTACACTGTTTAATGGTACACAATTTCCATGTCAGAACTTTTTCATACTCCTATCATGTGGATAATTGTATATAATTTTAATTATTCCCAAGGTTTTCTCTTCTTGTTGACAATTATTTTCATTCTTCAGCATTGCCATCTACTTGATCTGTTCCATAATGCTCAAAATATATTTATACCTAATAGAGTGCTCAAAAGATGCTAATTCATCAGGTAAATCAAAGTTTGGAAACATATCATTTTTACTGACAGCAATTACTTTTTTTTTAATCTATGTGTGCTTGCCATTTCACTGGCTGGAGTCCATATGTGAAGCTCATACACAGGTAATCTTGGAGAAACACATCTAAGTTCTTTGAACATGTGTTTCTCAAACTTCCCTACAAAGAAAAATCACATGTGATACTTTAACACAGATTTCTAAGCCACATCCTGGATCCAAAGAATTTCCAGGACAGTAAGCTGGAAAATTGTACAATATAAAGGCACTCCCAGTGATTCTTTAAGTTTGACAAAACAGTAACTTTTAACTATTAGTGAGCTCAAGAAAGTCATACTTTAAACAAGTACTCACAATGATTCAGACAGAAGTGATTTTTAAACTTGATAATTTTAGAATAAGTGCCCAACAATGGTGATTCCTCTTAGAGTAAATGTTTGTTCTTATTTAATGGTAATGTTCTTTATACAAGGAAAACACAATGACGTCCACAAATATCTCACAAATGTCTTTTAGCACCTGTAATGTGCTCAATATTATGGAAGGGATTAGAAGCCTGGCTTCAATTTGCAGATGGGAGCCAAGCTGAGCTAGTTTGTAAAAAGTAGAGAATTATATCTCATCAATTTGTTCCAGCTTCTAAATTGTAGGTAGATTGAATAAGGTGGACTTTGGAGGAAAGGCCCCTCTGGTTCAGTAATCTAATTGGAGTCAGCTAGACCTAGATCCTTTTGAAACCTCAAAAGATCAGACAACAGCTCTAGGACTTTCTTAATAGGGAAAAACAACATCAGATCAGGGGCCTCATATTAATGAGATTTAAATAAAATAAATGTATAGATATGGTTTTGAGAGCTGGAGTTATTTAGCTCTGTGGTAGAGTGCTTGCCTAGCCCTAGGTTTAATCCCTAGCACTGAAAACTAAAGTACCAGATACAGTTCAAAGACAGTTGTATGGAATTACATCAAATGAGAAGAAAGCTAACTATTTAGAGACAGGAAAACAGAATTAGCTAATATTCAGATTGCTTCTTGTACAAGAAATGTGCAAGAATGTATAAGAAAAACTGCATTAGTTAAGTTCACTGGGAAGTAGTATTTTCTGTCAACTGGCTTGGGTTGAATATATTGTGAGGTACACAATGGTACTGAGAACACTGATTTTTTTAAAATGCCAGTGAAATTAAAATGTTCAGAGACCATAAATTTTGTATTTATAACTTATTTCTGAAGGTAGTCACTGATCATTGGAAACAGACAGACAGAATCCTCAATCTTTTTTCTTTTTCAGATAATATGGTCCTAGGGCTTGTTCCACGTGTCTATCCCTTTCCTGCCAGTAACAGAACAATTACCTATTTTTTGTTTTTAATTAATGTCATCTTTGGTATTTCTGAAGAAAATAGGAAAAAGAGAAAAATTTACAACTTACCTTTTAAGCTGGTCCTGAATGAATCTTTTAAAGAGTTTTTCTTAATAAGTAAATACATATACTCATGGGCTATTAACTATGTAACTGTAATGGTCTGTTTTAGAAAACAAGTGATTTTTTTTCCCCCTAAAATAAACAGGATTGTTTGGATTGATAAATTTTGGTCTTTTATAGCTAAGAAATATTTATCTACAATATAATGTCTTTTAATGGTAGCGTTCTAGTGGCAGTAATATAGTAATGGTGATCCTCAAAACGGGTGCTGCTTACATCCATTCTACTAGAATTGAAGATCATTACATTTCAACTCAGAGTCGATCAAACGTGTGAACATTGTAGAATACTAAAATGTCATGGGGCAAAGTATATGCAGTATGCAGTAAAACAAAATGTCAGCTAATGCAGCACAGCCCCATTAATTTGAATACTAGGTGAAGTAAACCTGTATTCAGCAGGATTTTGCAGTGGACTTCTGGGTCATTCCAGTCTATGAAATTGTAACAATTATGATGAGATCTACAGCTGCAGATGAAAGAGCTTCATGACCAGAACAGAGAGAGACTAGATGATTTAGCAAAGCTCGAGGTCATTTTTTATCTGACTTACACAGAGCTTTAAGCGTAATTTTTTGTTTTGTTCTGTTTTTTTAGACAGGGTCTCACTATGTAGTTGAGACTGCCCTGAGATTCACTACCTAGCCGAGGCTGGTCTCGAACGCACAGTGATCCTCCTGATTCAGCTTCCTGATTGCTGGGATTACAGGTGTGCGCCACCACCCCCGGCAAGCATATTAATTAAGAAGTCCACTCTCTTTCTACAACAAGACTCTACCCACACACAATTCCTGGGTCACTCTGTCTGGAATCACTTTTGAAAAACTAGAGACATTGTGGAGAAATGAGAGATATTATGGTAATGTAAATCATTAACTGCTATTTCAGTTTTCAAATACCAAGCCTTGCCTTAAGTTAGTCATCCTCACTATCTCATTTTGAGGATCAGTTAATTTTTAACGCTTTTTACTAATCAAAAGTAAAATTTTCTTAGGCACATATTTATGCCTCAATATTTTACCTGTTCCAGCACTGCTGTTTGCCTTTCTAGAGCTACACAAATATTTTCATTAATTTGCTCTGAAGTTTTCATGCGCTTAAAGTTTTCTTTGTTTTCTGAAAACATCTTCTTCTTTTGGTTATAGCCTTGGGGAGATGGAAAGATTAGAGATAAAAATATTCCTTATAAAGAAGGAAATGGGAATAAGGACACTTTAAACAAATGTAAAAACTAAAATGTGACAATAGCAGTATTTTTCAGAAAATTTAATTGCATTAAAATATTCCCACAAAGAAAAAAAAATCCAAAATCTATCTTAGATAAAGTTCTAGTATCAGATACATTCCCCCTTCAATCTTTCTTGATATGTATACGCCAACAAAAACTGAATTATATCATTAACTCTGTTTAGTTACTTTAGTTCTATAATATTTTTATAAACGGTTAGGCAGTCCTATGTATTTTCCATATGTGATCCAATATTTTGTAAGCAATTTTAAATTCATCTTATTAAATGATTACTCTGCATCCTAGACAAAAGCAAAAAGTTCTATGAAATCAATATTCTCTTCTACTCAATATTCCAACATAAATACTCCACCTTTAATGAAACTTGGTTTTACTATTTTAATAACTTTAGAACTTCACTTGATAACAACTTGGTATATGTTTGCTTGCTTGCTATCTATCTATAAAGACACACAAATTTATATGTATGTATCCCAACACCTTATGCTGGCCATGTGGTTTACAAGTCAACAATATGGTTAAGAAATGGCTTCAGTAGCTGGGCATGTTGGCAACTGCCTATAATCCTAGCCCTTGGGAGGCTGAGGCAGGAGGATCTCATTCAAAGTTAGACTGGGCTACAAAGCATATTCAATGCTGGCTGAACTACATGGTGACTTCTCAAAAAAAGCAAAACCAGGGTTGGGGGTTTTGCTCAGTGGTTCCAACGCCTGCCTCCTAAGTTCAAGGTTACAAGTTCGATTCTGGGGGAGGAGGAAAAGAAATAGCTTCCTCAATAATTTTTTTAAAAAACTTCTTTCTCAAAAAAACCTTCCAAATAACAAATATATTTGAAATGAATCAAACAACTGCCATAAGCCACCTTTTGTGCATAGAAAGTAATTATTCCCTTCTTTGTTAGAATAAACTACTTCTGATAAGACAGGTCTTACTGCATTAAAATCAGGTTTGGCCTAAACATGCCTGTAAATTTGGCCTGAACATTTATCCGTTCATAGTGAATGAACTGTAATCTAATCATATGAAATGTAGCGATTCCAAATCAGAAGTGACATAGTGATTAAAGCATGTGCAATCATGACAGGTATGAACTATAAGCAACCAAGCTGGCACCGTACCTCATTTCCCTTCCCTTTCTCTGACTACCAATATAATCTGTCCACATGGCGGGAAGCTTTCTTGAACCATTTTTGGTCCTCATGTTTTCCCAATACTAGTATTACAAATAAAGCCAGTTAAGTTCTATAAAACTAGGTTTGTTGAAATTCTCTCCTTTAACAATACCTTTCCCCCTCCCCACCAAGAGACTCGGAAATAATTATTCACTTATCTTTTCCTATATACTCTTACATATCTGAACTGTTAAAATCCTCCCAAAGGAAAATGACTATTTTAATTTCTCCAAAAGATAGCTACTTACTGTTATTACCGTCAGTGTTGAGTAAGCACTGCCACTTTGAGTCTGTATTTTCACAATCTGAAATGCTGGAACATTGGGTTCTACTGGATTCTTTGGTTTTCCAAGTGTTAGCTACACAATTGCTGGAACTGACCACGTTCACCGAGTTAGGCATTTTTGCAACTGGCACACAACATGAGTTTGAACTTAAAATGTCATTTTGTCTTTCATCATTGGAGTCTGCTTCTAAACTGGAAGCCACCTTGTTGATTCTGTTATCATCCAAGGCATTTTGAACTACATCACTCATGGGTGAATGACAACTAGATTTTAGATTACAATTCTGTTCATGTTGAAAAAAAGATGATGTCACATTTGTCTTATATTCAAAATGAGCTTCAGAAGAATTCCGTTTCTCTTTCACTTCTTGTATAAAGAATCGGCTGGGAGAATCTATTGTTTTTCTTGGCTTTTTGTAAGAAGATACTTGCTCACCAGTATGTTCAAATCTTGTTTCTGAGTGAACAATTTTTTCTACAGGTTTTATTAAATTCTGAGGGAATCCTGTACTTTTCAGTAAAAATGCTGAATTTTTCTTAGAGTCCAGTGAAGAATCAACAATCTCAGGATGTCTACATTCTCCAGTCCTGACTCTAATACTTAAATTCTGATTAACACTTGGAACATTATTCTCAATTGTTGTTTTTAGAACTTCAACAGTCTTTGAATTATTCAGGATCTCTGCTTGCTTCCGGCAACTTGTAGGCATTGTTTTTTTGGCTTTTAATATCTTCCGTTTACTTCTATCTGGACTTGCCATCTTGTATATCCTAGAATTTAAGATATATTTAAATGCATTTCTCCAGTGAATTAAAGATATTTATTCACAATACTAAAATGACCTGAGACTAATTACTTTTATTGGTAATTATTCATTTTCATCTGTCATTGAATACAAATACAGAGATATTTTGATTGTCAAACAGCTCCAAGCTCAAACTTTTCACTATTTATACAGTAAGGCTCGAAAAAAATCTGCTCAATGTTTATAACTTTGCTCACAGTTGAACCAAAAATGTGACTTGAAAAAACACTGTATGGGGTTGCAGTTGCGAATGAGACAAGTGGTATCTCCCAGCAGACATAAAAGGGTGACTGACGTCTCAGTCTAAGCACTGCTCTCACCCAAACAACATGTAGTGCATTTCGTGTGTTAAAACATTTGTCATTGTGTTTTTCTGTGTGTGCTTTATTTGTGTAAAATATAAGCATGGCTCTGAAGAAAGTTAGTGATACAAGCAGTAAAGCTAAAAGGAAAACATAACCACAATAGAGTTAAAGAGAAAAATCATGGGCCGGGGATTTAGCTCAGTGGTTCCGCCGCCTGCCTGGCAAGCACAAGGACCTGAGTTCGATCCCTGGTATCATAAAAAAAAAAAAAAAAAAAAAAAAAAAAAAAAAAAAAAAAAGAGAGAGAGAGAGAGAAATCACTATGAAATATGTTAAAGTCCTGGAAAAATGAACTTATGTGTAATTTTTGGGCCTGAGAACCAATTATTTGATTTTCCATTATTTCTTATGAGAATAAAGTTTTCAAACTTTCTGGTGTTTGAACTTGAACCAAATTGAGTTCGACAACTGAGTTGTCACTATAATTTTAATTTTTTCTTATAAATGTAATCTATACAAATTCAAATTTTATATACTGATAAGCCTGTACTTGGTATTCAACCTGACAATTTATCTGGTTACATCTTGCTATAGCACTTTAGTGCTATGACCATTGACTTTTGATTTAAATCATGTAAGTGGGTCATAGTTTAGATTATCTAAAAATTCAATTACATACATGATCTGTATAGGACACATTACATTTTCTACAAATAATGGCTCAATTTAACCTTTCCTAATATTCCAGTTTCCACACTAAGTAGTGGTGTTATAGGAATAATTCCCAAATCAGTATTAAAAAGTACAAAGACACATGGTATAATAATAGTTCAAATAAGCACACCAATTTAATTTCGCCTATATTCTACTTAATTTTTTAAAATTCTCATTTAAGAAAAATCTAGCCAGGTGTGGCAGCACACATTTGTAATCAATCCCAGGACTCGGGAGACTGAGGCACAACTGCCTTGAGTTCAAGGCCAGCCTGGGCTACAGTCAGTTCAAGGCCAGCCTGAACTAAAATTCAAGGTTCAGGCAGAAAAACAAACCAAACCAAACCCATAGCAGTGAAAACAGAGCTGAGAAAAATATTTTACTGCTCATCCCTCAGTATCCACATCAGCTTTGATCTGGACCATGAGAAGGTATATGGTTGAAAAGAAAAGAACACGTCAGGTTACAACCAAAGGCATGATAAAGGCAAATGTCAGTTACCTAACAAACTATAAAGCAATCACTAAACTCAAACACAGGCTCTAAGACTCTTAAGGTATAAATAGCTAAATCTACCTGAGTAACTTCATTAACTTTAAGTTTCCTTTACTATATTCTTTACTTCATTTATCATTTAACCGTTTAGGAGTTGTAAGACCTGAGGTAAATAATTTAGAAAGAGAAAAGAAATGACAACAAATTATGTTCTCTTTTTTCTTTGGTATGAGGGATCGCACTCAGTACCTTGCGCTTCCCCAAGGCAGGTAGCAGAACCACTGAGCTAAATCCCTGGCCTGCAACAAATTATGTTTTGAAGACATGATGTGCATCTATAAACAACACAAATCCAGGAATGCAGCATATTTTCATTACTAGGGGCCTGATAACACCAATCGAATTCTATTTTTCCTTTTAATATAGCAAACTAAAACCTTTAAGCCTTAAAGATTCCAGACTCTTAACCTGCTTCTTACCTTGCTTCAGCCTACCCAGGCACGCACAAAACTTTAAAAGGCCCCAGACTCTTACCCTGTTTCAGCCTACCCAGAAACACACAACAGCATCACAGACCCTCCCAGGAGGTAATGTTTTATACTTAAATATAACCACAATGTATGTAATTACAGAACATTACTAGCTGTGTCCTGATATTTTGTATTAGCTATATCTTGTTATTTTACCATCCCAACTTCCTATTAATCACTCAAAGGCCCCTAACCTCAGGAAAATTACATCTGTTTATCAGCTAAAAACTTCTGCTTCTGTAAAATTCTGCTTCACTCATGCCCCTAGTCTGCCCCAACTACTGTACAAAAACCTTCCCTCTTTCTGTACTTGGGTCCCAGGTTTTCTGAAGTGCTGACTTCACTGGGCCAACCAGTCCATAAAGCCTTGGTTTTCCTCTACCTCTCCGAGTGACTAGGCCTTTCCTTGGTTCAGATTTCCTGACTAGGAAATCGATCATGCTGGCCCTGAGGATTGCTGATGGAAGTCCTCTCCGAGGAATGAGACAGCATGCCTTCACCAAATTTCTTTCATTAGGTGAGGGTGACTCACAGCTGTGCTTGCTTTTCCTGCCCAGTTTCGGGAGAAAGGTGGACTGAAGACCTTCCAGGACTTCAGGATAAGGTAAGGCCTAGGGCCTGCTCCAGTCTCAGTCACACCTGTCCCAGTGGCCAGGAAAGGGAGATCACCTCTTAAAGTCTCAAGCAAGGATCTCTCTGAGGGGAAAGGAATGTTTTAACCTCTGAGTGACTAATGAATGTGTGAGTGATATAATTGGGTGTGGTCCTCCAAGACTAGTCTCTTTGGCTCCATGGCTTTGGCTACAGTCTTGATTAGGTCCTAAACTGTGGTTCCACTGCAATGGTGCACAGCAAAATGGTGACTTGCCTCATGCAAAAGGAGTGCTGACCAGGCCCAGGTTTATACAGGTACACCTTAGCCAAATAACAACACTCAAGTTCCCATGAGGGATATGGCCAGGTGGATGCCTGAGTGGTATCCATTAGGAGATATCCATCTTTGTGTGTTGTAACACTGTTCAAGGGCATCACATACACCACAGATCATGGGTAATCATTAGAGTAAGACAACTGTTTTAAACTGTATGTTACTACATTTTTAAAAAGGCTTTAATGGAAATTATGGAATTATGATGAAACCCTCCAAATTAAAGACTTTCTGTGAAAGAGACTGGCCCAAATTCAATGTTCAGTGGCCAGAAGAGGGGACCCTAGATGTCCCCACAGTCCAGGCAGTATGGAATGTTGTATCAGGCATGCCTAGACATTCTGATCAGTTCCCCTACATCAATTCTTGGCTGGAGGTAGCTCAGACTCTATTCCACCATGGGTCTGATTCTGCATTGCTAGAAAGAGACAGAATCAAGTTTTTGTGGCCCATAACTGTAGCTTCCTCTCCAAAGCCTCAAAAAGGCTGATGATTTTTCAAGACCTGTATGAGGAAGAAAATTTGCTACTGCCTCATGTCCTCAAGCCACCATCTGTACCCTTACTACAAGTTCCTGTTATGCCAGAGAGCCTACCACCCTCCAGACTGCTGCCACTGACTCCCTCAAGCACCCCATCTTCTGAATCATCACCTGCTTCACCAGCAGCATTGTCTCCAGTTGCATCAAACTCCCCTCACAACACACTGACAATTCCCTTCTCTATCTACTGCTTCTGACTGAAGTCCCCAACTCCTCCACCATCCTGCATGGCAATGAGATCATTTCTCCAGAGGCACCACTCATCAAGCACCTCAGATCTGCTCCAGCCTCCTGCTGTCCAGTTGCCAATATGGGAAACTTGACTTCCATACACCACCCTGGAAGACAGTTCTGCCCAGCCCAGAGAGGTCACCTTCTGCTACCAACCCTTCACCACAACTGATCTCAACTGTATTCTGAAAAGCCCCAGTGCTCTTCAACTTTGTGGAGGCCATCTTCCAAACCCATCTGCCTACCTGAGACAACTGATGTCAGCTGCTCTATACCTTCTTCAACATCGAGGAGACACAAAATCATCACTGAGGCCAGAAAATATCTTCAGAACATGGCCCCCACCAGCCAAGATGAAACAGAATGGGCCAAACTCATGGTCCCGAAGTCAGGCCAGACTGGGATTTCCACACTGCTGGGGGACAAGAAGCCCTCACCAGATACCATGGGCCCTCCCCTTCAGGGTGTTAATGAAGCTGCCAAAAAGCCTACAAATATGTCCAAAACTGCCTCTGTGCTACAAAAAGCAGACGAATTGCTCAGTGACTTCTATGAGTAATTATGTGAAGCACTCCATATCTTCAACCCATTCAATCCAAAGGCTCCTAAAAATCGGTACATAGTAAAGGCTGCATTTGTGGCCCATTCTGCTCCTGACATCTGATGCAAGCTGCAAAAACTGACATCCAACACACACTCCAAAAACTGGGTATCTTTACACAATCACTTGATGTAGCAATGAAAGTTGGGCCATGAAGCCCAACAAGAGTCAGGAAATAAAAGGAAACAGAAAATCTCACTCCTCACAGCTGTGTTAGGAAAACTTCCTCACCACATCTTGAACAGCTGCTTAACGCCTCCTCTGGCCTTTACATCCAGGCTGTTCAAGCCGTCCATAAATGCCTCCTGATGGATGTGCCTTTTCCTCCATAAATAGACCTATATGGTGATCCCAATTCCAGCAGGGTGGACCTCCCCATCAAAACCTTGCTGACAATACAGAAATACTCCTTGGACTTTGCCACCTCCCACTGAAGTAAGATGAACAAACTTTATCATGGGGCCACTGACAAACATTTAAGATATAAACTGTAACATGTTTTGCTAATTTTATTCATGATTTGTATATCTTCTTTGTATAAAAGTCTATCAAATCATTTGCCTATTTAAAAGCTGCGTTATTTGCTTCTTTATTATTGACCTGTGAGAGTTCTTTATGTA